CTCCTAATAATATTGTTCTTTAATAGCTGATATTGATTCCCGTTAGGGTTTGCCCTAACTAACTCCAACCCTAATCTCAAACAATACTAAATATGCAAGATGTATTATGTGAGCTTACACAAACACTGGATTACGTCCCCTAGGGTGGGCACATACAGTAATTTTAACTCAACTTAAAATAGATTGTCATTATGTCCCCTTAGGTTCACCGTTGCAAGGAGCACCTTCATTTTCTCAAATTGATTAATATAGGGATCGTATTTACTGTTATTAGCCAGAGTTCCAAACCACCCAAGGGTAGAAAGATCATTAAATACATTAATGTGGTTATCCTCCAAATAACTGCCCTAAATTATCAAGGCTAAGGAAACACCCTAGCAGGGCCTCAATCATATGTAAAATGTAGACACTTCTTTCCGGCGAATATACCTCATAGCGCAGGAAGCACTCCTCTGAATAACGGTACCAAATCATCAAAGTTGTCAACACACTCTAACAGGGCGTCAATGATATGTAAAATTATGATTTATTTCCTGCAACTACGGCAGGCAGACCTTCAGCTCTGACACTGGTTTCTATTTTTTAACTTCTCCCCTGGGTCCTAGGTTTAACTTCTCCCCTGGGTTCTATGTTTAACTTCTCTCCCCTGGGTTCTAGATTTAACTTCTCGGTGACAAACATTGAGGCTCTGTTAGGATATTTTCTTAGCCTCGATAATTTAGGACCATTATTCGGAATAAAGCTCAATTGTATAATACAGTTGGCAATGTATCTCTCTAGAGAAACAATCTCTAACTGTGAAACAGTTGGACATCACCTACATTGCTAAATATGCGTTCATTATTTTCATTCCTTTTTTATAACATATTTCCCCCCAGTGTTACAGCTTTCTTTTGTTTTCTTTGCTTGGAACCATTTTTGTAACAGTTAGGTTTACTTTTTTTTCTTTGAAAATGAATGAACTGTGTTCAGCAATAGAGCTGGCTACCTCTGCATTCCCTCTTACACTGATACTGGTCAGATTCGACCAGCTGGTGTGCACTATACCCATAGTCATGCCACCACCATACACTGTGCCTAAAAAATTACTGAATAACGTGTAAAGTGAAATTGTGTATAGTGATGGATACATGTATAGTGGCAGTAACAATACAAAGAAAATTTCTCAAGTCAGTATGGACCAGATGATCTCCTGGCTCAGTCGCAATCTAAGGTGGAAAAAATATTGTAGGAAGTACTAAAGCCCACTATACAGAAGGTGAGCAATATCTGTAAAATAAGCCTGCACATATTTTCACACTGGGCAGAATTTTTATAATTTACGTTCCCTCCCTTGTTGACCTAGCCTACAGCGGGTACCAGAAAATATACCAGGGCATAAAGATGGCTGTGGTGATGGGATGTTGAACACATCATCCATTGAGTGCCAATCAGTCTAAATTTGGAGTCTAGCATCATGTGTCCAAATTCTACTGGCCGTAATAATGGCCCTGTTCCAACTATATAGATGCACAGATCAATCAATGCTTAAATGTAGTTTTTTAAAAACAGGACAACCGTGATTCGATTCAATTTTCGGAAATCTATGCAGATCCGAAGGCTTCCATCTTTCTTTCGGACAACCACTATTGGAAAAGCATAGGGTGATGTCGACGGTTCAATTATACCCCACTTAATCATGTTATCGATTTCCTTATCCACGGCATCCCGATAATGAAAAGGTATAACATATGGTTTCATTTTGATGGGTTTCGAGGAACGTGACCTCCTCGAAAGCGACCTTCACTTTAGTTGGTCTAACTGTCAGATTAAACGATTTTATGCGTTCCAGTAATGTCTTTAGACCTCGAATATGTTCGTCTAAATCATTATGGAAAAGTAGAATGTCATCCAGATAATGAATAACATCATTACGACCCTGTAACAACTTGCGTACGAGGCGGGTGAACGTCGCCGGTGCTCCGGAAAGCCCGAAGACCATATAGTTGAAGTGAACCACAGAAAAGAGTTCTTGCACAATTCTATTGGCCTGGTTGTTCCACAGATATTAGGAAATACTGTAGGTCATGTAAAGACTGTCAAATGATGGCGAGAAAGGATGCATCTCAGAAACCTCCTATTCAAAGGGTCTATCTTCCATGTCGTCCTTTCGAAAAAGTTGCTGTCGATCTTGTGGGTCCGTTACCGGTTGTTTCACAAAGAGGATTTAGATACATTTTAACATTTGTAGACATGGCATCACGTTGGGTTGAAGCAGTACCGTTACGTCATATCACTACTGAGTCAGTAGCAGAAGCATTGATGCTTATATTCTCTAGAGTAGGCTTTCCTGAAACAATCCTATCAGATCATGGATCACAATTTATTTCAGAAGCAATGCGCTCTTTTGACAAATTACTTGCCATCTCTCACGTTTTTTCTGCAAGATATCACCCACAATCAAATGGGCTAGTAGAAAATTTAAATGGGAAAATAAAAAGCTATGCTAGCCAAAGTTACTAATCAATTTCCAGCAGACTGGGACAAATACCTTCCTGCTGTTTTGTTCGCCTATCGTGAGGTGCCCCAGAGCAGTACAGGTTTCTCACCTTTCGAACTTATATATGGTGCTAATCCCAGAGGTCCACTGTCGCTGTTAAAGGACATATGGATCGGTAAAGGCGATCAAGAAGCGCCTCAAACATATATTAAATTCGTGACGGAGTTACGTAACAAGATAATCACAGGTTGTCAAGTTGCACGGGACAACTTGGAAAATGCTGGTACTCATCAAAGAGAATACGTTAACCGTAACCAGAGACTAATCACTCTCCAGCCTAATGATGATGTATTGATATTTCTGCAAGATAATAATAATTGTTTATTAGCCAAATGGCAGGGTCCTTTTAAAGTTATTAAGAAAATTTCAGATGTGGACTATCTTATTGATGTCAGAGGACATCATAAAGTATATAATCTAAACATGCTTAAAGAGTTTAAGTCTCGCCCTGGTGTTTTGTCTGAAGTGTTAGAAGCAGCTGAGGCACCCGACAATAATTTGCAAGAAGAAGAAATGGAGGCAGCATTCTGCCACGTCATTGACGAAGAGAGCAATGATGTCGAGGTGGACACTGCTGCTCATCAATTGTCTCTACCCGAACTGGTACCCAGAGAAACATGGAGAGACGTGGAAGTCGCGCCCTCGGTTCCACCAGATATGGTGCGTCGTATAAAGCGTATTTTGGCTACATTCGACAAAACATTATCGGACATACCGGGTAGAACGACAGAAGCAGTGCATTCCATTGAATTAATAGATCATAAACCCATCAAAATGAAACCATATGTTATACCTTTTCATTATCGGGATGCAGTAGATAAGGAAATCGATAACATGATTAAGTGGGGTATAATAGAACCGTCGACATCACCCTATGCTTTTCCTATAGTGGTTGTCCGAAAGAAAGATGGAAGCCTTCGGATCTGCATAGATTTCCGAAAATTGAATCGAATCACGGTTGTAGATGCTGAAAATATCCCAAATATGGAAGATATGTTTGTTGCATTGTCGAAGGCTAGGTATTTTACAAAGTTAGATCTTACCAAGGGTTATTGGCAGATTCCCTTAGCCGAGGATTCCAAAAAATACACCGCGTTTCAGACGAACAAAGGTTTGGTTCACTTCAACTATATGGTCTTCGGGCTTTCCGGAGCACCGGCGACGTTCACCCGCCTCGTACGCAAGTTGTTACAGGGTCGTAATGATGTTATTCATTATCTGGATGACATTCTGCTATTCCATAATGATTTAGACGAACATATTCGAGGTCTAAAGACATTACTGGAACGCATAAAATTGTTTAATCTGACAGTTAGACCAACTAAAGTGAAGGTCACTTTCGAGGAGGTCACGTTCCTCGGTCATGTTGTAGGACACGGGGTCCGTAAACCCGAAGCCACCACGGTGGGTAAGATTCTTAACATCCCTATACCAAAAACGAAGAAACAAGTGCGTGCGTTATTGGGTTTATGTAACTTTTATGCCAAATTCATTCCTAACTATTCAACCATTACAGCCGTGTTGTCCTCATTGAGTTTAACTTTAGATGGGACAGATCAGGAAACTTCATTACCTGTTCAAGGGCTGAAATACTTATTGATGGTTATCTATAGGATAGGCTGCAGAAATTATTTATGCTTTATGTATTTTATTTGCATCAACTAGTATTCCTATATAGTTCTGAAACCTTGAGTACAACTAAAAGAGATGAAGTTTTATTACAACCTATTTCAAATCATTATACCCATCAAAGATGCAAACAGTGGAGAATGGCGAGTGAGAAACAGTGACAAAATTTGTAATCTATTTAAGTCACGACTAATTGCTGTCGTCATGAGGGCTAATAGACTGCAGTGGTTGCAACATATATCAGTAATAGCAGATGAAAAAGATACAGAAATGGTGTACACATAAGAGTTGAATGACAGTAGATACAAGGCAGACCCATAGAAATAAAGGGGTGAGATAATATACAAAAAGGACTGCAACTGGACCACTGTCCAGCTAGTGACTTAGAGTCACCAACTGGATAGAGTAGGCCAATGACAGAGATAGAGTGGAGACATGTGACATCTGCAGGAGTGAACCTAGAGGGCTCGGGATGCAGAAGAATAGGTTAAAGTTGAAAGGATTCACTTCGTTATTCTGGTTTTGATCTCAGCCGAGAGTGTCACACAAAGCATGGACACCATAGCTTCAATGGTCATTCCCAGGGGTCTGGATGAAAACTGCACTCATGAACCGAATAGCAAATCTGTGAAATGAACCTGTGGCCTTCAGAGCATGAGGCAAAAAGCTTAATCACTTCACCATACAGACCCCGCAGAATAAGAAGTATGTGTCATAGTATACTTTGTGTTTGGATGTTTCCATCAGTGTATGTAGGGAAAAATTATTTCAGTTGACCATATTCACTTACTGGATAACCAACATTGTTTAAATGTTTATGTCCATAGTGAAAATGGGTAAATCAAAACGGAAGAAGCATAAGAAAGACAGCCACCACAAGAGCAAAAAGTGAGCCATCCTATTTTTGATACTGTTGTTTAATTTCTGTAAACCAGAATAGACCATATCTTACATAATGTGATAAGTCATTTTTTCTGTGACTGTTACCTTCTCTGCTTTGTATCGTTCTGTCTTTTTGAGTGTTTTTCTCAACTTCTTCTGTGTTCACCCTAAATATGGTTTACAGCCATGCTGTGATATCTTCCTTGCATCCCAAAACAGCAAATCCTTAATTAATTTATTAGTTACTTTTATGACATGCTTGTGGATGTGTTTATTTCCTCCCCCAGAATGTGACCCAGGAATCCACATGGTTAGTGTGTGTTGGCTTCTGTGAACTGGTTTTTTATGTAATGCATTGGGTGGCTAGTGTTGAGAATGAAGGTGGTTATTGTTATTACCTTTTTTTTTTTAAACTGTACAGTAGATGTTAACTGCAGTGGATATCACTGCTGCCATTTTTTTTATTACATGGCGGGGCTCCAGTCTCTTCCACAGTGCAGCTATCATACTGCTGCCAGAAAGCCAAGTGAACTTATTTTTTAATTAGCTGCCTCTTATATCTAATCCCGGTATGTTGAGGAGTGAATTTAAACTTTAAAATTGTTATAATCATCATCAGTCAGCAAGTCCGTTACAGAACGTCACTCTCCTTACGGCACGCCTGAAAGTATTCCTTTCCCTAGCCAGCTCTCCAAACCCATGCGCCTTCAGTGCCAACGCATCTTCAAAGTTCTGTATCCATCTTTGCATAGGTCGACCCCTGCTCCGCTTTCCACAAACTGCACACTCCAACACCGTCTTCTCCAAGCCACCATGACGCTTGATGTGGCCAAAATACTTCAACTTTCGGGGCAGGATGCTGTTTATGAGCCAGTTCTCCTTGATGTTTAACTCGTGCAGAATGTCGATGTTTTTCCTCTTCTTGATCCTTGGTATTCTGATAATTTTTCTGTAACACTTTAGTTCAAAGGCTCAAATCTTTTTCTTCAGTGACTGAATGAGAGTCTAGGACTCAAACCATAAGTTTCTACAGAAAAAATGCATGATTTCAGGATTTTAACTTCAACTAATTTACAGGTGCTTTGCCAAAGGTTCTTCGTGGGGTTTCTATTATAACAGTTTAAAATCCCAACAATCTTTCTAGATGACCCTGTATATAAATTAGCATTTAATGGGTCATCTAATTACTATTGCTGGCCATTTGTACTTTCAAAAGATTTCATGGATACCATTTTAGGATAGTTAACCTTAAGGGGATTTGATTTTGGTCATCAAGCAGGTGTGCTAATCTAAGCATTACCGTGGCTACCAGTTTTTAAGCAGTAAAATTTCTGTATTTTTATATCCTGTGCGCAGATCTAAACACAGGCACAGTTCTGATTCGTCTGAGTCTGAATCGTCAGACTCAAGGTCTCAGTCTCGCTCACGTTCCAGATCTCCAGGGAGACACAAGGAACACTCATCTAAAAGGTCTCGGTCATCCTCTAGAGACCATCATTCATCCAGAAGAAGTGCAACACATAGTTCAGAACGGTCGAAAGTCATAACATTGGAAGACCGCAAGTAAGTTCGCCATTATTTGTGTTTAAACATTAGGCATTCATTTGCCTTTCTTCTCCATATTGTTCCCTCAAAACAGAGGCCCTCAGTCATGAAAAGTCCTTTGTATATTTGTTCATGATTTATTTGATTTGTCCCGGGCAAGGCTAACCTGGGCAACAAATGCCTGAAGTAACAAAGTGTCTTGGCCAAAATCGCAACAGTGACATCCATGCTGTGAATACGCACAATGTCCTCATAAGAACAGTAAAAAAAAAAAAGAAGAAAATGTCTGTATTTTCCTGTGTATGTTCCAGGTTCATTAGGGTGAGGGGTGGAGAAGACCCATGCTGCTCCCCTCTTTCCTTTTAAAAGTACCTCATAAAAGGTGACTGTAATCCTGGAAGGAAAAATGGAGATAAAAAAGATTTGGCTTTGCTGCCTTTCTTTTTTCTTTCCAAGCCTATTAACACAGAAATAATTTGACATTTTTTGTGTGACTGTTTACATACTGATGCTGCTGAACTTTTAATTGTTAATGTTTGTAATGGCTACCCAAGTGCTTACTAGGCAGTCATATGGGAAATGATACAAATGTCATTATTGTAACGGGCTCTGAAAGCATGCTGAAAAAAGTGAAGACAGGATTGCTTCGAGCAGAGTGTCAAGCTACACTTGCAAGGTCACAGGTAGTGAGCATACTTTAGATCTTTTCTCCAGGCCATGCTTTGCATGGGGGAGAATGAACAGGATGGATTGACTGGATCTGCACCTCTGGGTGGTGAATTGATACATGGCAAGGCACATGTGGTCAGAGCCCTTTAGGAACAAATAACAAAGTCAGAAGACAAACTAGTTTATTATGAGCTGGAGAGAGTGATTCACGTAAGTGTGACTAGAGGGTTCGGCCGGCACACTATGCTTAGAGGAAAGGCAAGATGGACATACAGCCAGACTATGACCGGCACCATTAGTATTGGAATACTGCACTGGCTGCTGAGAATGAGAACGGAGCTCATATGGGAATGCCCCGAGTGCTGTGATGACAATTCTTAACTCAACTCATATGGGAAATGGGTTCCAATTGATAAGATTTTAGGTTTTCGTTGTTGTTCTGTCTGGAAGGGCAAAGGGGGGGAGGGGCTGATAAAAATCCTAACCTGCGCAGTTCATGCAACCCTAAATCCTCAGGCTCTAGATCCCACTGTTGCACACCAGTCTAAAAAGTGGTAATCACCTGCAGGATTCACGTTAGTAATCCATGATATGTGCCATACTGTCAGAAGTAGATTTAGGCTTCTACAGTCCCTTATATGCAACCAGCAGAAAATGAAGAATAAGAAGTAATAAAAATATATATGGTCTGTTTAAATCACCACTAATTACTGGCATAGTGAGGGCTAATATTCTGCAATGATTGGAACATTTGAAGAGAATGGCGGAAAACAGAGAGACAACAATTGAATTTAATGGGAGCAGGCCAAGGAGATGATCGAAAGATAATATACTGACAGACTTACACTTGGTGTAACCAGCTGAAAACGAAGCCAGTCACAGATATCTGGGTGGATATCTGCAGGAATGAACCTTCGGGGCTTGAAATGCTGAAGAAGAAGATAAAGAAAAATACAGTCCCTAAAGCAACTGTGGTATTTATCAATCCATGAACAAATTTAAAGTTACGGGTTCTTGGCATGAAATTGGTAAGGTTTATGCTCCATTTAAAATTAAAGGGCAGAGAAAAAAGGCATAGCAGCAGAAGATATGTAATAAGTAAAAGTAAAATAAAGGACCATTTTTACTTCTTTATGGAATTGGACATATAATTGCGGACATATTTGTAGACTAACTGGCACTCAATGGGTAATGTGGCCATCATTATTCTGTCTGCCTTTACATCCTAGGACATTTCCATGTGCCCATTTTAGGCTGAGAAGACCTGGGATTCAAGGTAGATTGTGAAGGTGGATTTGAGTCACCAGGCTAGTATCTAGTCCAGTGTTTCCCAAACTTTTCTTTGTTGCAGCACCATTTTGTCAATTAAAATTGTTCCACATCGCCCTGACCTAAGTAAAAGCATGACTATTTGTATGTAAGAAATTTAAAAAAAAAAACTTGTGTATCTTCTAATATTTCGTGCCCCTGTGAAAAAGTCACGGCCCCTGGGGCGTCACGGCGCACAGTTTGGGAATCGCTGATCTAGCCACTCTGTTATCTTGGCTTTCTTCTAAATCCTTTTTGAAAAAATGTCTAAGTTTTAAAACACTTGCAGTTTAAGTTCAGACAGATCTAGGTCATTGATGCCAGGTTCAGTCTGCCTCAAAGCATTTTCTTTTCTAAGCCAAAAAAGTAATGCCATTGTAAAGGTCATTTGCTAATTATGGATTCTGTGAATGAGATTAGAAATCTAGACCAAAAATAGTTACCTTGTACATTTCCAGGACTGTCGTGCTGTCACATGGGCACTGACATTTGTCTTCCACATTTTATGGAATTTAGCCTCCGGCTGAACATCTATTTTCAGGGTACAATTTGTTCTCTGTAAGACACTACTCTTCTTCTTTATCTTCTTCTTTTGTCATCTCACTGGTACCAGGTTGTAGTTCAGTGTTTTGTTTTCTGTATTTGTCTTGCCCTTCTCTGATGGCTCCAGTGGTGGATGTGTTAAATTTTTACAAGTTTCAGTTCCTCCTTTTATCCATCTCTTTCTTGGTCTTCCCCTCACCTTCCTCCCAGATGTTCTGCTGTAAAAAAAAAATATTTTATATGGTTTTGTCTGTCTTTCTTCTCACAGATGGCTAGACAATTTAATCCTTTGTCTGTCATGTTAGATACTTAGGTCTTTTTAGTATTGTTGAATGAAGTTTGCCATGACTGAGAATATAAAAACACACATAACATGTTGACTGCCTGCCATCTTAGAGTAAATCCAGTCACAGTGCTTTGTTTGGTACTGAGATAAAATGATCCTAAACTCTTCTTTGGTTGAAATTTTACAGCTATTAAAACAAATGATTAATAGGAAACAGACTGGCATATATTTTTTTTAAAATATTTAAATCATGTTATGCTTGCCTCTGGTGGTCATGTTTTCACAAATATCCATGTGGACCAGTAGTTTCTACCTTTTCACGTGCTCCCCTCCCCACCTCAGCCCTGATTATATCCCCCCCTCCCCCCCAATCCTTCCTGATGCACAGACACCAGACTTTAAAACAAAATGTGATTAAAAACAGAAAGACCGAAAGAAAACCCTAAGCACTATTAACAAGAACTATGTTATGCTGTTAACTAGATTTGTAAAGGTAGACTTCATGAAAATAGAAATCTCCTTAGCTTTTTTTTTTTTTTAATAAATAGTTTTTAACAAATATTTACAATTAATATCAGTAAAAAATATTGGTATAACAGATTATTACAAGTAATAATGTAGTTTCAAAATTGCTTGATTCCTCCTTGCACCCCCCCCCCCCCCCCCCCCCCACCTTCTTTTTTACTGTTAAAAAAACCACTGGTCTAAGCTGAATTTCAACATAGGCCTCGGCTTTCCAATTAGCACAGCTTCAAATAGTTACCAGTAAATAATCTTAAAAGTAAATATTCTTAAAAGTAAATATCCTTAAAAGTAAATATCCTTAAAAGTAAATATCCTTAAAACTAAATATCCTTAAAACTAAATATCCATAAAACTAAATATCCTTAAAACTAAATATCCTTAAAACTAAATATCCTTAAAACTAAATATCCATAAAACTAAATATCCTTAAAACTAAATATCCTTAAAACTAAATATCCTTAAAACTAAATATCCTTAAAACTAAATATCCTTAAAACTAAATATCCTTAAAAGTAAATATCCTTAAAAATAAAGGCAGTTGGCATGATATTGACCACAGCATTCACTGCGTGCTGAATGGTCTATAAAATATGGGGCTTACATGATATATCTCAAAATGTGGAAACTAGTCATTAACTTAACTGTCATTTTAACACTCATAGACTGGCGTTTCCTAAACTTCTCTTTAGGAAATCATAAGGATAAGAAAAGAACTTTTAGATTTTCACAGAAAAAAGTTTTAACATAAAATACAGATTATCTACAAATATTTTTGGCAGGAAAGAGAAAGAATTGATGAAAGCTCTAGAAACACCTGAGGAAAAACGTGCCAGGAGGCTAGCCAAGAAGGTAATGCAGTGTTTTGTTTTTACCCAACTCCTAACGCCTCTAGGTTTTTTTAAAGGGATGCAGAAGTGCTGGATTAGAACCAGGGCTTATACTGGTCAAGGCCTATCTACACTTGTCTGCAGTTATCCTAGAAACAGCTTCCCATCAAGGGGCCTGGCCAATGTAGATAGGATCAACATTTCCTTTGAAGTTGGAGTGCATCTGCTAGACAGGTGAGGTACCAGAAGCCTGCATGCTAATAAGCCGGATCTGTAAAACTGATGTGCATGCCCACCCCCCCCCCCCACCCCCACCCCCAAACAAATATCAAGTCCTGGATCAAGGACAAGGTTCAGAAGTGGATGAACAACCAGGGCATTTTGCTGGAGTTTACAGCCGGTGAATGTTAAGAAGAAGAAACATGAGTGCATGAGAGAGAGAGAGACGATAACATAATGACTTCAAATAAGAAGGTATCATGTTCATTCTTTTTATATAATAATAGGTGCTGCACTAGCTTGCCAACCTAACAGCCCATAATTTATACCTAAAATAGTGAGACTAGATAATAAAATCTGTATTTAGTCTCTTAAAAGAAAAGCAAAATGAACTGGTCAACCCAAATTTTATTTTAATATTGTGAACTACATATCAAACACAGCGACTGCATGCCTTTTAGATAATTTTAAATGTGTACAAAATTCAGTTTATGTATGTGCAATTTCTCTGCATTAGGTGACAGGTTTTATAATTTTATTGTAATATAATCGCTACCATCATTGTATAATAATGTGTAATGTTCTGATTGTTTTATTAGGAGGCCAAAGAAAGAAAGAGAAAAGAACAGATGGGATGGGACCAGGATTATCTGGTATGTTGTATTTAATATACTCAAGGCTTTGTAGCTTAATTTTACTGATTCTTAGAATACAGTGGATCAACATACACATAAAACTACTCACAATTTACAGAAATGAATATCAAAAAAAGCATTATGTCGCAGAAGCTAAAATACTTTGACCATGTCAACCTTTTTTGCCCCAGTACCCTTTTAAATTAGAAGAAACTCTTGAACCAGGAAATCTTTTTTTTTTTTTTTTTTTTTTTTTTAACAGAGACACTAGTACATTTATTTACACATATTTTGAAACTTTCATTTTGAAATATAAGAAAGGTTTATATCAGTAAACACAAATGGAGTGGAAAACTAAATGATTTATTTCACTTGTGCCTCAACGAAATCTGCACAATGACTCATCATAACCTTTGAGCTGTTTACTACAGGCTATATAGGAAATATGGCATGACAGTTGCTTTAAACAAAACTTTTTGTTCTGTTTACAATGATCAACCACCAACCCCCCCCCACCCCCACTCCTTTTTTTTTCCTTAAGGGCTACTTTTAGTAACTATTATCATATCCAAGGCTTCTAAACACTGTGCAGGCTCAAACTGAACCAATGTCATAACCAGGTTCTCTGGCAAATGGAAATGCCAGATTAGTTGCTGTACGGGGCCAAAGGGTTTAATGTCCCAGTGGCTTAGAGAGTTCACTAATGGAATGCATGGTTCCTTAAAGGAAGAGTCGATCAGTATAAAATGAACACATGAAATTAATAGTACCGTGAACATGAATATGCATGAAGCAGTAAGACTGGCAAAAAATAAGTCTTTCATGCAGGCCATAATGAGAATAACTTTTTGCTAAGGATCTGATACATGATGACAATAATTTGCTGGGCTGTAGACTTTTTGTCCAAAGTAGTGCAAGAACAACTAATTTGTTTTGGCAGTCAAGGTTTACTTCTTCATTGACACCTCACCGGCCTTAGCCTGACAGTATTGTGCATACGAGTGAAGCACAGATAAATAAGATTGTAAAGTTTCTCTTAGGTCCAGATATGGATATATTTAATAAAACTGAAATGGGATAGTGGGAGAGGGGTTGTGTGTGTGTATGTGCGTGTCTTCTTGAAAAATGGCTTTTTGATGGCATAATTTTCCCCACAGCCATAGTGTATTCAGGCGAGGTCAAACGGTCACTATACCCAAAACATTTTTTCAGGCCCCTGGAAATGCATTCTATTTAATATTTTGCTTTATTTATGGTTATTGATTGCTTTCTATATATTTTTGGGAACTTTTTAAAAATGTAGATAAATATACTTTAAATTCTTAGTGGCCTATGTCAAATGTTTTTTAAAGGATTTTTTCAGGATGGGAAGGGGGGGGGGGGGGGGGGGTAGGAGATTTCCTACAGGTTCTTGTCTTTTTTTAAAGCATTTCCAGGGTGAAAGCTTTAATGCTGAACTGGGGAAAATTGATGTTGATAGGAAATGGTGGACCTGAACAGATTTCTTTAGCACCAGTCTTTGACTGATTGGACTGATGAATGAGTTGCAGATAGAGAGCTGCATGATAATCTGCAGTGGTTCACCAAGACCAGAGCTTATACTGGTCAAAAGCTATCTACATCTCTATGTCTTGATCCTAGAAACACATTCTTAGTTGAGACCTGGTCAACATGGATATAATCAGTGTTTTCTTTGGCGTCGAGTGCTTCTGCCTGAGGAAGGACCAGTCAGCACCCATTAAGCCTGATCTAGAAAATGGATGTGCTCACAGCACTCTAGTCCTGAAACAAGAACACAAATATAAAACTTACCTGCTTTCTTCCTCTACTTCTTGAGTGTCCAATTATATACATCTTCTTCTTTTGTCGTCTCACTGTTATAAGGTTGTAACATAGTGTTGTGGGTAATTATATACATGAAATACTTTTACCAGGCTGTTTCAGTGGCCTTAAGGGGTTCTTACCTATTGATAATTATATTTTAGTTCTTTACACAAGGTCTACACAAATATGCATGTTTCTGTGTTTCATCACAACGTTTGGTGTGGGGGGGGAGTAAACCCACTGTCTTCCTAATAAGCATGCTATACGAGGTGACTAATTAGGAAAGTTTTCTTCAAAGTCGGAGTGCATCTGTCTAAGAGGCAAGGAACCAACAGTCTTCATACATATAAGCCAGATCTGTAAAATGGATGTGCATGCAAAACTGAAGTCTTGGAACAAGACCACAGTCCAGAAGTGGATGAACGACCAAAACTTTCCAAAGGAGCTTACAGCTGGTGAACACTAAGCAGAAAACACCAGTTGCTACATAAAGGTTGACGTTTCTGTTGTTGCACAACATGGAGTACATAAATATTGATATTTCTGTTGCACAACATGGAGTACATAAATGTTGACATTTCTGTTGTTTTACAACCAGGGTTACACACATGTTAATGTTTCTGTTTCACAACATGGAGTACATAAATGTTGATATTTCTGTTCCACAACATGGTGTACATAAATGTTGATATTTCTGTTTCACAACAAAGAGTACATAAATGTTGATATTTGTGTTTCATGATCAGAGTTACACACGTATTAATGTTTCTATGTTTCACAACAAAGAGTACATAAATGTTGATATTTCTGTTTGACAACTAGGGCTACACAAATGTTGACAACCCTTTTGGAGATGAGCATTTACTGGACACCTTTGTTTGGACGAAAAAACTGGAGAAGGAGGGTAAAAATGACATATCTGCAGAAGAAATTCAAGCAATTGCTCGTTCTAAAATGCTTCATAATAAGGTACGTTACAGAACCAAAACCTCAGATGGAGGTATATTTAGAGAAATGTGAATAAGAATTTAAAAAGCAAAAGTTGTCGACATAATATTAAGAAATTTATGACAGTCAAAATTAATTAAATCTGATACCAAATTCACATTATTTAGCTTATAATTTCCAATCACTACTGCTGCATAGATTAAAATAGGGAGATTGGCTAAAACAATTGCTAATAAAACGTAAACATTCATTGAGTTGAGTCAAGAATTGACATCTGAGCACTTAAGGCATTCCCATAAGTGCTTGATCCCCATCCTCAGCAGCCAGTGCAGAGTTCCAATACTAATGGTGCTGGTCGTAGTCTGGTTATGTGTCCATCTTGCAAACATTCCTTAATTGTTCTCTTAATTCCTTAGTCCTCAATGGCCATTCAAGACAAACTAGGCCACAGATGAAGACCCCGAGCACAGCATCCTATTTGTGACCCATGCTGATATAGACTCACCGGCAGTGCCGTTACGCTACTCTTTTCAATGTCCAACTGCCAAGGGATTTTTTACGCGCACAACAATACACATGGGCATCCGATCTTTCTACCCAGAGACCAGGGAAAATTACTAGAAGCTCACATGAAAAAATCCCAGCATTCACCGGTTGAACCCAGGACTTCCAGCGCTTGAGGCGGATGCCATGCCTCAAGGTCACGCAGCTCCCATCAGTTTCCACAGAGATTTCCTATCAATGCTGTCAAAGACTTTTTTCATAGTCTGCAAATCCAGTGTCAGGTGGTGAATTCAGTTCAATGCTCTGCTTTGTCAAGAGTGGCTATCTGGTCAGTATAAGATCTGTTTGGTAGAAAACCTACCTGTTAATCTGTTACCTGTTTATAAGGGCCATCTTTTAGTTTTTCCAATATAGTCCTATTTAATATTTTAACAGGAACTGACAACATAGTCGGTCATGGTTTTTTACACTCCTGCAGGTCGTCCTGGATAGTAAATATAGTTGATGTGACGTTAACCTCATCACTCATCAAATGCCAGTTAGTCTGTAGATATATGGGTTTTCCATTACATACTTAAGGCATTTCTAGTATAAATAGGGTCATCTCTGACTTGGAAAAGATCCTTCGTTTAATCACTTTCTGTGTGATTAAACACTCCTTTGCAAATCACATTACCCAAAATGAGCTAGAGATATCAGCTAATAATGTTCATAGAGATTGATTACGCTCGTAAAACTATCTATAGTTTTATAGATATCAACACGCAAATGGTTCTTATATTGGTTTTTTTTTTTTTTAAGGTGGAACTGGAAAAAGTAAAGAAGAGACGACTTGAGCGGGAGCATGAGCAGGAAGAACGAGAAAAAGAAAGGGTGTGTACATTTTTCTTCA